GCCCCTGTCCTGACCAGCTGGCCTACTCACTCTTCACAGTGTTTTTTCTGAATAAACCACGATTTGTCACCACCATTCTGAGTCCCGGTCTGCTTTTGGGTTCCATCCCGAATTCTGACAACCCCAAGTGCATGGTCTTCTACAGCAGTGGTCCCCAACCTTTTTTACCTCACGGACCGTTTTTATGTCAGATAATATTTTGCGGACCGGTCGAGAAGGTCCGACGGGGGGGTGAGGGGGTGTAGTAGTCGTTGCGGGCGGAGCGAGCAACGGGGGGGTAGATTTTCAAAATAAAACTTTTTTTCAGAATATATATAAGCTTTCTGTGGTGCGGCCCGGTACCAAACGGCCCTGGGGACCACTGTTCTACAGGATCACATTGATTTGACACTTTTGTTAAAGCATGCTCTGTAAAAGATCTATAAAGCAGTGACTAGGCTAAGAGGGCAACAAATCCAATGACCACTGAGACCATACACAAATGAAAACGAATGAAGCAAGCAATGAATTTACCAAGTTTGGTAATGCCACTTAAAAAAGGCTGCAGTGGTGTAGAATCCCTTAATCCACCAACTCAAATAACAGTAGCCTACAGCGCCGGCACAACTGTTATAATGGGCACAAATGTTATACTGTTATACACTTATTCAAAAAATAAGCTGTTTGTGCTTGGCCAAATCGAACTGATATCTCTCAAAACATCAGTGCTCTGTGAATATAATGCTAATATGCTAATAATATAATGCTTTGTTTTTGTAAATTGTGGAGAGAGGTTAGTAGGTGAACACATTGGTCTACCATTTAAAATCTACAAAATGGAGGATTTCCAATAGTTGGCAAAGGATTAATCTAATCTGTAAAACCAGGAATAAAAGATAAAATAAATCCCTCTGAGCCAACGGGATATCATTGTGACCTCCGCTGTAGACAAACTATTGTGCGGTGTTCAATTTAATCACCTTTCCCGGTGGACGGAGTCTGATACTGCGATCGTTTTTCATGCCCAGTGTTGTGTTCTTGCGGTCGGTTCCCTGCTGCTCTTACTGTCTTTTCACTTGTATTCCCAGTGAGATATACGGTACAATCACCTAAGTACAGGGAAATAAGCAAGGTACATTGATTCAATTGTTTATTGTATGAGACGGTTCTTTGCTTGTTGGTATACGATACAACACTAGTACACTGCAGCAGAACGGAATCCTTTCATGGCTGTTTAATATACATTTTAGAAGCTAGGCTGCTGCACTATGCCAAGGAGATTTGTGCAGCGGATCTGTGGCCAGCATTCAATACATTCAACTTCTTGAATAGTGTTTCTGTGAGTCCATGCTATGGTCCAAATGCTGTGCAGAGATTGAGCTTCAAGACACCAACAGATGTTTAGTTCAGTGCTCCAATTAGAATTTATTACACTTCAATACATTTTGCCATTAACCTTTTTAAATCTTCAAACATTGCTTGACTGATCTGACTAGACTCTTGTATTAGCATATTCTTTTGTTTTGTTTTACAGCATCATCTCATTAAATTCATTAGACTAACTAGTCTAACATTCTCTTTATTAATGTTTTTTGCCTTTACAGAGACCTCAGGGAAATAAGTGGCACACTAGCTGTTAAAGGTTCAGCTATGTTCAGCTACAGTAGTCTCTCTGTTGCTACGTCTCAAAGTCGCCAGGCTGCATCCTTCAGGACGCATTCGTTGACCGCATACGTCACTTCTGCTCCGACTCGGCTGCGACTCGCTTGTAACAACTTTGTGTTACTGCCAAACATTACTCTTGGAAAAGTTATTGCATGAATTTACATGAATTTCTGTTTGAAAAAGTCACATATGAATATTGTCGTGCTTTTTTCCCATGTGATACTGCTGAATGTACCAAAACTGCGCAGGATTTTAGAACGTGCAACATTTTACAAACGGCGGCCAATACAAAGACGACCTAGAGAATGACGTCTTTGTATGTGGAAGTCGAGAAAAGTAGAGACTTTTTTGCCCCGTGCATCGCCACTGCTGCTTTTTATCGCCTTTTTTTCGCGGATATATTTGTCTCGTATTTTCCTCCAAAAATTTGTACACCCCTCAACCGGCAAACCGATGTTTGTGGAGATCTCCCTCCATGAATCGGACGCCATCTGCGCATCCTTATAGTCCGGCAATGACTGGTTTATGTGTATATGTGGTCATATTTACGGATCTTCTGACAAAAGCTCTTCAATCTAAATAATTCTCTCTTCAAAAATCTTCCTTTTAAAAATAGCGGTATTGTGCTATGAAACCGGAAATGTGAGACTCCGGAAAGGATGTAGTTTGCAGACCAATCACAGCCTTGCTGCGTGAAAGCTTGCGTAGCTTTTGACGCTAGTCTAGGAAAATGGGTTGACGCACGCGAGCACGCACGAAGGCGTAAAAAAGCACAAAAGGGGCTCTTGTGTGTGCGTGTCCCTGCGTTCTCTGAAAATGCATAACTATAAACTAGGCATAAGTGATAACGTTAACTGCCCCCCCACCATACAGCCGCTGACCCAGATTCTCACCTGAACCCCCCCTCCCCCGGGTCCATGTACTGTTCTGAACATCAATGAACCAACAGACTTTCATAACAAATGCACAACGAGCAGCTAATGTTACCGGGAGCCGCTGCAATGTTAACGGCCTGTAGTTATTAGTGAAAAGTCACTTATATGGTTTATACTATACATATACATATTATTACATATTATGAACAGAAATGGATCAACGTGAGCTCGGTTAGACAAGTTATGAACCTGAAATATCACTTAATATACAAAGAAACAACTTGCTTTGCTTTTTTTTTGTGTGATTATAAACTTTTAACAACATTTAGTCGTGCTTTAAGGAGCAGGAGGAAGCAGCATCAAGCTGAAGGAGAAAGATGTGTGTGGTGACATTCAGCTGCTGTAGCTTGGACATATTTTGGAATATCTTATGGTTACAGTTAAAATAGCTTGTATCGGATGCAATAGAAAAATAAGAAGGCCTTGCATACAAGTGAATACATGTGTTTGCTGTGGTATTGATGGAATCTCCTCTGCCTTGAGATTGCATTGTTACTTTTAGCTGAAAGTACATGGCCTTAATTTGAATTTAAAATAACCAAAACAAGTTCTTCTCTCATCCTGAAATATATCATGCTCCGGAGGAGCATGAGCATATCTTAGATTAAATAAAATAAGAAGATTATCTTCTTTATCTGTAACTTTGTTTTTGGGGCTTTTACGGCTTTAACTGTCAAGCACACGCAGGATGCTAGGCAACAAGAGCAGCGGAGGTAAAGCTGATAACGCAGGCAGGAAGTCCCCCCGTAGGCCACACCGTCCCATTTCAGAGAACGCTCAGGTTCAGCCTACGCGGTTGTTGGAGGACCCATCCTGGGTCTACTGTGAAGGCTGCTGAAGGCTACAAGGATGCAGCCCAGCGACTTTGAGACACAGTTACTGTCTCTGTCTGAGCAGGTAGTGTGCACTGGGTTACAATGTTCCTATTTCCTCAAAGGGGTCACTGATAGTAAAAGTTTGCAATCCACTGTGCTGAGGATAGGGATTTGTCATGATAAGTCCTTGCATAGCGTTGGGAGTGCACTAAGTAAAGTTTGATGTACATATTGGGATGTAAAGATCTTAACACTTTTAAGACAGAGGTTTGTAAAAAATGATGAATGAAGATTAACATATTTTTACTCTGCTTCTTTGGGGCTCCCCTACAAATCAGGCTGGTGTTTTGGAATGACCGTATTTCTTTGCTCGGAAGGGAGAAGGCCTAATCCAGAAATAGCAGAATGGATGCAAACTTCACTGTTTGAACACACATGGATGTGGTGCTAAACCCGTAGAAACGTCTAATCCTCAGTAAGGGTCCAAAACTAGACTCATGATAAATAATTGTTATTCCGTGCATAGATTTCTGGAAAAAAGAAAACCCTTGACTGAAATAATCCTGTTTTGTTTTTGAAAGAATATCAGCATCCTACAAACAAACAGTGTTAGTGCAGAGTTTACTCTGCATGCCTGTTGCAGTTGTCGACTCCGTAAAGCATGAATCTATTAAGGTCAATATATCCTGAGATCCTGTTCCTTTCTTCTCACACATTCTTGTCTATACTCTCTTACCCCAACTATTATTGAGTACAGAGGGCCTCTGTGTAAGAACCTTTCATACTGAGCTCTCAGGCATGGTATACATGAGAATTATGACCAAAAAAAATACACTGTATTGAGTCATTCTTTCCCAAAACAATTCCAATTCCATCATTCAATAACTCTAATGGAATCCTCCTAGATGTTATACACATTATATTTGAAGTACCACCAGTATTTTTCTCTCCCCAGCATAGGCTGGTCTTCTTACACAGGGTGGATTTGAATCAGAATAAGTCAAGTCAGAACATGCCCTTGGGGATCCATTTTCTATATGGGGTAGGAATGTGGATAAGGGCTACTCCCCCATGCTGCTGATTGAGTCACGTCATGTAATGAGCTTCTCCTGCTCCCCACAGACGTAATGTCATTATGGAAATACATTACCTGCATCCTCTTCCCTCCTCCCCCAGACCCCCTCTCACGCTAATTCTTTCAGCTTCATCCATTTCTGAACAGGCCATTAGAAATGGATTATAGGATGTTTTCTTTTGAGACCATTGCTGACGACCTTCTGCCGTTTCATTACAAATGGACTAATGTGTGTCAGGGAAAGGAACAATAACTCCCACGATGCAGGTCAGTAATCTGTAGGCGTTAGGGTGCTCGTAAGAAATGTTAGGTTGGCAGGGTGCAGAAATTATTTCTATGGTTATAAATATGGCATGATCATCCAGCAGCGTCACTCACTATCCATCAAACTGTCTGCAAGTGTAAGGATGCAATCTGCTGAACTATGAATTCAAAATGTTGGTCATTTGGTTGGAGTCTGGAAGACAGGAGACTTTTTTGGGTTCAGGGAGATGGAAACGTGTGAGCGTGTGTTGTATTTGTGATCATTACCTGCCACAAGGCTTCCTCAGACTAGGGTGGTAATATGTTAGCAGACCTGGTGCCATGACATTTACAGGGCAGCCCCCACTGTAGTCCTCCTTAGCCCAGTCCTGAAAAGCAGCAGAAAAGCGAAGTGACATTTACTTGTTTAATGGTGCCGTTCAAAAACATTCCTTCGTTTCATTCAATTGACAGTTCTCAAATCTAGTCGAATTCCATTTGAGCACATTGCACAGCCATCAATGACTTGATTCTAAAAAATTACCAAAATATTACACTATAGCAGTGGGAATTCTACAACATAAAACAGTTTTAATGACTCTTTCAGATGAGTGGAACGAAAGCCTTTAGTATTGGGTATGAATCATACATAAACTGTTATTTCCTCACTGCCATAAAATCAGAACAAATATGTGTGCAGCTTTTTCCTTCTCTTCACTAAGCTTTTGCTTGTTCTATAAAAGTATTGCTTTTTCCTTAACTCTTGTCTTTCAAAAGTGAAATGAGAGGTCAGAGACTACATCCATGTCTCTACATGACTAATACATCTGCATGCTTACTTCAATGATTGCAATATGGACTCCAATATTACACTTTGTCTTCCCGTGTATTTTGTATGATGCTCTTAATTCTGTTAACTCTTCAGCCAATCAAATAGAAGCTTGTTGTTAAGCAGGTTCTAAGAATAAGGATTACCACGTCCAGTGAAAAGCTATGCAGGTTCAGTGAATATAACCAGCCAGTTTTCCGCACTGGACGGTGCTTCTAAAAAGGAGTGAGCCAGCACCATTACTACGTCTGCTCTACTCAGAGATTTGTCTTCTTGCCAAAAGCGAGCCCATCCCCACAGCACACAATGTTAATAAACTTCATAGTAGAAATAAACAAGTTGACAGCTTTGTACAAAAGATGACACTGTTCTCCGTAGAAGACAGGAAATAGATCAATGCGCAGTGAGAATGTGGTTGAGTGAGAGAGATAAAGACGAACGATGGATGCGCTCAGAGCAAAGAAGTGTTGGCTAACGGAGCAGAAAAAGTTGCTAATTTATGTCCAACCTATTACCCCCGCTAAGCCCTGCAGGTCTTCAAGACCCATTTAAATTATGTATACATATTGTGTGTGTGTTTGTTCACATTTCAGATTTTAACAAATAATCGTCACAATAAGTTACTGTACTAGTGGCTTCTTTGGATGTACCATGAGTAGATTGTTTTTGCTCCTCTCTGCTGATTTGAAATAATGAGCAGCCTGCATGGCTGGTGGTGCATTCTGGGACTTTTTACCTGCACTACGTAGCTTTTATGACTAGGATACAAACCCGCTTTAAAAACTAGACTATGAATTTGGGAACCATGTCATTTTTGGTTATTACAGTAGACATCTGCCACTGAACTCACTTTTTCTTCATAGTGGATGAAAGATGCAGCCTCAAGGCCCAGGTATTTGACCAGACTGGAAATCACAGCTTTTCTCCTTTCCCCACCCTGCAAACAGAAGGAAATCCCTTTGCCAACAACACTCTTGCTCATCACAAATAGAACTGCAAGCTGCAAACATCCTAATGCATTTTTAACAAACCGATCCAAGCTGAAGATAGAGAGCAGCTGTCAATTTAAATAAATCATGGTTGGTCAACTTCCTGGTTTTTACTAGTTAACGTGGTGAGTTATGTGCAAAGCTGCTGAGGCGTGACAATAAAAAGGAACAATCTTGATGAAACCTGCAGACATATGCAAAACGGCTAGATTACGTTTTTTCCCCCTCTATACCCTTGTGCAATCATTTCTCTTGGCACACTCTTTTTATAAAAACAAGATTGATTCGAAGCATTGTACCAAATTAACTAGCTCTTATCGTCATGAAATCAAAACCCCAAAATAGTCAATCCAACCATGTACACTGTATACGAATGAAATATTGAAAAAATTAACTTTCCTCTCTTTAGCAGTGGATTAGCATGTGGAGGTAAATTATTTAGCACTGAGCTTGATGGCACAGTAAGCAGACGGCTACGCCTGAGCCCAGTAGCAAGTCAGGCCCATGACTGAAATGCCCAAACACTAGAGACAAGTTGGGATGCTATTTGTTTTATTAGTGTGTTGGCAGGGTGTGGCTGGCTCAGCTGTAGAGGGGGAGAGCGGGGGGAGTGGTGGTTCAGGGAAAGGTGCCGGGAGAGAGTTAATGAGCACAGCTGATGAACATTCTGTGTGATTATGTCTCCATAAAAACAGTGAGCAGGACTCGGATAGGGATTCTCGACTGGACGCTCTGGTGAACGACAAGAAGGGAAAAATTGGAGGTGCAAACCAATAAACCATTTGTGAACCGGCAAGCTCGAAGTGTGCTTGTCCAATGAACCCGCAGGGTTGTGCTGTCACGGCTACATTCAGGTTAAGAATAATCACTCAGAGAGCAGACACGGGAAAGAGGCGATGATGTAGCCTTAGTGCACAACGTGTGTATTCAGTTAGTAGACAATAGCACACATGTGGCTATCTAGCCTGCTTAAATCATACTAAATCTGTTACATACAATATTTGTTGTTAACCGAGTGGACAACCATTAGTGATTAAATTGCAGTGTCTTTGAGACAATTTCTATGTGCAGCTTAAAAGTGTCCAAATAGTGTTGCAAATAATACACCAAAGAAAGGTTTACATTGGGTTGTCAAACCCTTTTTTTCTGTATATATCCCAGTAATAGCTTTTTAAAACAGGCACAACCCTCCCACTCTTTCCAGTCTATAAAATTACTTTTTTCACATCACTTCCACATTATTGTTTTATATTATCAACCGCATCATTTGTGTTGGGGACTCTTCCTAGTCAGAGAATTATTTCTAGAGGGTTTTTTCCCTTTTCTTTTGCATTACCAGCTCAGCAATGTTTCAGCCGTTATTGATTTAGAAGCAGCTAACAAGGAATTGTAGTGCTACTGCTATATTGTTAATGTTACACAATAACTTAATAATCTATTTATAGCCCAACGTCTCATTCAAGTCTCAGAAAAGGAATGTTGACTTGACACCCAGCATTACATTAATCAAAGTTGTCATGACGGTGGTCCAAGTCATGCTGTAAAAGGATTCTAGGGCCATCTAGACTTCTGCTGTATTGGATGAATATACTAAATCAACCATGATTCTACAAGAAACTGCTCTAATTGAGTGGTGGGATTGAGACTCCATCTCTACGCAGAATATACACCATCGGTGTTGATTGGGAGTAAAATCCCCTCCTGCATAAAACGATGCAACATCACCCCAGTCCTCCATTACAGGATTAAGCACCTAAGGGCCATCGCCCTGATGTATGTGGTCATGAAATCCAGCATTAAACACCTTCATCCCAGGGATACTTGAAAAAAATAAACTGTGCCAGCCTCCACTTGTTAGTGGATAACTAACTTCCTGACAGACAGGGCTAAGCAGATGAGGCTATAGGGAAAATCACCTCCAGCAACCGGACCAGCAACAGTGGCGCCCACTAAGGACGTGTGCTCTCCCCATTGCGCTTCAACCGGTACACAAACAACTGCACCTCAGAGGACCCGAGTCTGAGTCTGCATACTGACGGGAGGTTGATCAGCTGGCCCCAGAGTTGGCCTCTACCCCCCCCTTATCACACAATCAGGAAAGAAGCCCAGCAGAGGTTGCACTTCCTGCGTCCTGTTTTATTCCCTCATCATCCAGTGTGTTCTCTGTTCTTCCATCCTTGTGCGGTTCGGGCACCAAACAGGACAGAAATAGACCACAATGGATCATTGGGTTTGCAGAGAGAATAATTGGCTCCAGCACTCCCTCCATCCTGGACTTGTACTCCTCAGAGTCAGGAAAGGGGCAGGTAAGATCCCTGCAGACCCTTCACATCCTGAACACAACCATTTCTAACTGCTTCCTTCTGGTAGGTGCTACGGAGCACTGGATTTTTTGCAGACAGAAGTTGGGTAAAAGGTTTAAAGTGAGGCATATCTCTAGAGTCTCAAGAGATGTTGTAGTGACACACAGATCTCTGCAGGTACTAGAGCCTTGCTTTTGCGATTACCTCTTCGCTGGGGCTCCTACAAAAGGGATGTGGAACAGAGATCTCTGGCTAGCTTGATAACCAGCTTACATACCAAATGAGGATATATGGAACCTGAAGGCGACAGTACAAAGACCGCCATACTGTTCATGGACAAAAATACCTAGTTTCTCTTTCTTGTATTTCAGACATTATATTGTTTATTTGAAAGTGTTCATCGAAACATAGAATTGCCATTAAATAGTTCTTGAAAAATAACTGGTTTGCTCAGAAACTAACCTTGCAAGGCAATACGTTGTTAACTACTAGCCTCCCAAGTTTGCACTGTATAACTTGTTTACAGTAAATGTGACTTTCAGATGATATTGTATATTGCTGTAATCCGTGCTACAGCATTTAGTAATTGTTGGTTTTTATGCCCTTCCTTAGGTGATGCCCATCTACTTAAGCTGATATCCATTATCAACTGAAATATAATTAACATCAACATGATGATGCGAAAAATCAGTTTCAACTATTTTGCTCATTTGCCAGTTCTATGCATTAACAGGATATTTTAATTTATAACGATGAAAATTCAAACTAAGTACTAGATGAACACTTATCATTTAAATCTGTCCCCACACCAATAATCCATTACCTCCTTTGAGCTCCATTGAGAAGCCTGCTGGGCGGAAATGAAGCCTACCAAGGCAGCGTTACCACTAGGGCTGGTGGCATCGAAGGTAACACAGAATGGACACCCGCTAGAGGATCCCGCCACAATTTCCCCAGAGAGGCCCTTCTCTTTCCAAAAAGCCTGTGGAGAAACAGAGATGGTTCATCATACATCAGTTATTTCCAGCATTCTTGTAATCTCATACAGCAGCCCTATTCTCACAAGATCACACAAATAGCCATGTTGGCAGGCTACAAGAAGTGCGTTTACCAATAAGCTTATTTTGAGGGGATTCTGACATTTACAAGCTTGTTTTATATAGGTGTGACGCAACATGTAGAAGATGAGCAATAATGGCAAGGAAGGATTTTCCAAATGACAAGTATGTTTGATACCATTTTCCAGACTGAGAGTTGAATGTCAAGATTTATCTCAATTATCTTTGAAAGTGCTAGCACTTCTTAGATAGCACTTCTTTGACAGGTCAATAACTAAAAGGGGACTTTTTGGTTATTAAGTATTATTTCTGCATTTGTTGGATAGGATTATTCATCGTAGTAGATATAGGCCATGCAATACATGCACAGTTATTGCTGCTGTGGGTTGTACTCGAGCGGGACCATTATTGGTCTGGAACCGAGCCTGAAGCAACAGGAATATCTTGTACTGATCACAAACAATTAAATGAATGCTACACACCGTTCGAGTCTTTGCTACAATATCCACTTATCCATTAGAAAATACTCAACAAGTTAGTGAATATGTTATCGAAATGAGTGCCGAATATGTGCACACAGCAGTGCTTATGTACATTTCATCAGGAAAGCAAGAAGCTAACAAAGAAAACGAGACACCAAATCGCTAGCCGAGACAAAGCCGAAGACGCTGATATAAGTATCAATTCTCTCAGACAAACCTTGCCAAAACCAGAGCCAACATCCAGTGTATGAATCCTGCCACATAAAACACTTGGAACTGCAGTCCCCATAACTTCAATTGAAGGCAGCCATTGCTGCAGCAATTTCTCCTAATCTTTAAATGATGAAACATGAAACTAAGATACATTTATTTTTACTATGGGTCCTTTATTTACCCCAACTGCACTCCTGGAGCACAACCTTAGTTTGTCAAATTAAGAAGGCACTTAGGACAGTGTACAACGAACAAAACAATTGCTTTTTACTAAACTAGAACTTCTGTATGACATGACAACATGGAATAAAGCTAACAGCTGTCTGAAATTGTATCATATTTCAATGTACTTTATACAGCTTTATAATACACCTTCGTTTGGAGTAAATGAAAAACCTTTCTCAACTGTGAAATTTACAGTGGCCAAAACACCATACCGTAACGTCTTATACATTTTCACTGTCATTTTTCAGTGCGGTATTTTACCGTATTTTCAACAGATAAGATGTTTTCTTTAATAGCAATTTGCCGTAAAGAAATAACAGTTTTTAACCATGAAATTTACAACGGCAAAAAAGATACCGTAATGTCTTATGTGGACGTTGTTGTTTTTACAGTGAAGTTCTGGCAACCATAGCTGCCGGTATTTTACCGTATATTGTTTTTAAAGCAAATTACCGTAAACAAATAACGGTTCTGAACTGTGAAATTTACAATTTGAAAAAGAAAAATCCTATAATGTCTAATACGCTGGCGCTGTCATTTTTACGGGGGAGTTCTGGCAACCAAAGATGCCAGTATTTCACCATATTAGCTACAGATCTTTTTTTTACAGTGACTTGATTAACGGGGGGGCACCCTCTTTACCTCCACCCTTTCCATATTCTACACAACTGAAGATGATGCAATGCAGTTCATTATGTTAGCCGTTAAAGGTGCATGGCCAGGTATGGCTGATATAACAGATGCCTTCAAGGTCATGACACTTAATCTAAAGAGTAGTGGATTGTCCACAGTCCCGTATGCATTTAGTGCACTCAGGAACACTTTGTTCAATTGTGTTACTCTCTGCACAGAAAACACAAAGCTCACTGAAAGTGATTGCCTTTTAGGCATCGCTTAAGACAGCAATCTTAAGCAAGAGCTATTGCCTCTAAAAGTGGGTTTGTGTTTGATAGGTCATGAAAAGTGACAAAAATACTTTGCTGCCGTTATTAAAACTGCCCTTATAATTATTCCCCAAACCATTTTGTTTGTATCTATATTACTTGACGGTGGACAGACTCCACGGTATTGCTTTCCTTTTATTGCTTATCCTCCCTTCAGATCAACAATCTACAGGCATACTCTGGGGAAACCAATGGCATGATCTTACAATTTCACGTAGATCTTACATGTAGTCCATCTACGTTAAACCTTCAAAGACAGATTTAAAAGTGGAAAAGAAAAAGCTTCTGTCCTCTATCTTCTCCAACCCGGTACCTGCAACGACAAAACCAACTCTTGTTTCTGACTGACAAAGGAAAACCCATGTCCTGGTCATAGTCCAGAACTCGACTCAGTCTCCTCTCTAAACAATATGGACTTAGAGAACCATTTCCCCGCCTTCAGCATCAGTGCAGCTACTTCCGCAACCCCTTGTGGGTCACTGATCCTTCACAGCATCTGAATGTTACATCCACCAAGGAATAATGGAGATATAATTGCAGCTCAAAAGGCTAAGAGAACTACCTTGGAGACAAGCCATTAGTACCTCAATGCACGATAATAAATAAAAATCATTAAATAGATGAACATACTGCATTTTAAAGTGTCTGGCTGGGTTTTCTTCCTTGATGCAGGTAGTGTGGTGTCTCTTGGGATGCATGCTTTAATCCATCCAAAAAAGTGACATACTGACAGATGAGGTCTGCAGCAGGCATGCTGGTACACATCAACTTTCAGAGGCCCACCAAAGGTTAGCATAGGTGTTTGGCCAGACTTGGCTGTGGATTCCATTGTTTTGGGGGTTTGCATGGTGCCCCCTATTTTTGCTTAGTAGGCACTTGGCTAATCTTGAGAGCATGTTTGTCATGGCGAGGCCATGCCTCCTGCGTGGCTCCAAACTGAAGCCCTTTGAGACTCCGTGATTAGAGGTAATTTACTCCTGCGAAAGCAACCAAGCTGCCTTTACTCTACAAATCACCTTGCAGCATATCTACCCCAGTTCCTCATCCCCTTTGATGTAACACATTCTTCTGTGGCCAGGGAAGGTGCCAAACACACACGGCAAATAGTTTTGGCATATAAAAAAATGCCGCTTGTAAGAGATGGTTTCGCGGTTGTCTTCACGTCTGAAAGCACGTCTCAATAGCAGTGCTTCTTCATCCAAAACGTGGTTCAGAAATGGGCATCATGGTGCAGGAAGAAACACAGGTGAATGGGACTTTATATGTCGCCCTCATCACGTTTACAATTGTTCACTCCTCACTGCGCACGTCAGTTTAGCCCACCAACAGACAACCCCCCCACGTCGGTCTGTCGGTCCTCCTGCAACAACTACAAGCCCACTGACGCGTTTTATATCCGCTGGACCTTCTGGACCGGTCTGCGAAATAATGTCTCACATGAAAACGGTCCTGGAAGTATTCACAGCGCTTCACTTTTTCTGTGAATACTTATGTACATGTTATGTTTTCGTTCTTTATTTTTAATAGCTTTGCAAAAATTTGCGAAAAACAGTTTTCACTTTGTCATTATTGTCATGGTGTGGTTCACTTCCTGTCTTATTTTGTAGTTTTCTGCCACTCGTGTCCCAGGGTAACTTCACTTCCTGCCTTGTCCTGTCATCCCCTGTGATCAATAGTTTCCACCTGTGTCCAATCACCTGCACCTCCCTTGTGTATTTAAGCCGTGTGTCTCTTGTCTCACTTGTCGCGTCATTATCTTTCGTTGTGGATGTTCATAGTTTCCTGCCTGCTGTTTTTCCCCTGGTTCCTGTGTGTTTTTGCCCCTTGGCCTTTTGATTTTGCCTTGTGACTATTAAAGTCTTTTGTTTTTTGAGAAGTCTGCGTTTGAGTCCTGCCTCCCCACGCATCCCTGACAATTGTGGGTTGTTGTGTGTAGAATGTTGAGGAAAATAATGAATTTAATCGATTTTGGAATAAGGCTGTAACATAACAACATGTGGAAAAAGTGAAGCGCTGTGAATACTTTCCAGATGCACTGTAATAAGTGTTTGTGTCCCTTTTCGTCTTGCTTTGTATAGCTCGCTGGCAACCTTGATATGCCTCATGTAATAATGAGACTGAAGGCTCTGAAACAGCACAGACTGTTTTGAGTGAGCATCATTTGAAACTTTACTTTCAATCATTTTTTGTTCATGCCTATTTATTCATTGCATATTTTAGTCTTGTTTTTTTATCCTGTAAATACTCACTCAAGAAATGTATTATAGTTGTCTAAGTACATATTTATTAGTTTGAAGAAATACAGCCCAGACCACAAAACATCAATTAAACTTGCAGATATCAAATACAGCAACAATACAGTATTAACGTTGCAACGGGCTTGCACTCTCCCAACTATTGTCTTAAGAGGAGCATTTTTGCCTTACAATTTTACGCTACAATAAAAATAAAAAAAATTGAAGTCGCAAAAGCACTATAAATTACATTTTCTTTCAAATTATTTGGTCAGGGCCAAACCTAATGACAGGACTCAAAGAAGCTGAGTTTTCACCGAGCATAAAGTATGATGGAATTCCTTCATCCAGTCAGGATCACAGGATACGCTGAGGAGAAGAGGCTGAGCTGATTGACAGAGTTGTAGTTCTGCAAACCCCAGGATCAGAGTTCTGGGCTCAGCTGCCTTGGTGACCTCCCAGGATATAATTACAACATTCCCCGGCTGTAGTTATATCTACAGCTGAAATATATATTGTTGTAAATATTTTTGCTATGATCTTTTTTTATACCTCAAGCTGCCATCTTTAGCCTGACGCATTAGGAGGGATTTACATACATGCTATGCACAAACGGGCACCTTCAGTCAGTATGATTTGCTTTCCCTCAGTGACATAAGACAAAGAATAATGTGGAGATTCAGCTGCTGCAGCTGTTGCCCTGACAAATTAACATTGTGGGGCATTGCAGGTAAGTGAAGAGACAGATGTGATGCCTAACCTGAGGCTGCCTCTGAAGACTTGGATGCGGAGAGGGGGAAGCTGGGACTTCTATTGCCCTCCAATGTTGAGAAGATAAGCCAAGGCAGGAATGCAGACTCAACTATTTCTGCTGAAAACGTGTGTTCTTACACAAGTGATGTGACAAGAGGGTCCCAGGGAACTGCTCACTCAGCTCAGTGTTCTGTTTTATTAGATCTTCTTCCAGAGGTGTCTGCTGCCATCTGCTATCAAAGTAATGTCTTGTGAGATTGGTTTTAAAACACTTTTCGCTAAAATATTTAACGACTGGAGTCAGATGATAGCGTCCAATACTATACTCAGAAAATTTAGCTGTTTTATTCATAGATGATACCATTCAAATGTATATTGGCCCAATTCCAGTGCCATTTTAAAAATGCCATCTGCACTAATGTTGATGGACTTTTGTAAATATTTTATCCCTCTGCAAAAAAGAACTGCCACAGACCCAAAACCGTACTCTGATGCATACATTTTCACTGACGATTTGGCCACTTAAAAAATCGCAAAGGCGAGAGAGCTAATCACTGCCAATCCAGGGAAGCGTGCCGTGTGGACCAACCGATTCTCAGCATCACCCGAAAGCTATTGGAGAGGGAGGCCAGGTACAGCCCAGTGGGAAAGGAGTGCCTGGCCATCCGGTGGGCTTCCTGCGCTATTAACTCCCAGGAGAAAATAGATACCACGGCCTATGGACGACTTCTAAGTGGTCCATAGGCTGGGGGCGCAGATACCCCCCCTTCCCGCTGTTAAGAGTGGGTTGGGGGGTGTTAGGTTGGCTAGTTCGCCGGCCTAAAGACTAGTTTATGCTTCAGCGTTTTCAGAGAGACGCAAGGACACGCAGACGCAAGAGCCCCTTGCGTGCCTTTTCCCCGCTCCTTGTGTGCGTCGACCCATTTTCTCTAGACTAATGTCAAAAGCTACGCAAGCCTCCCGCAGCCCGCAAGGCTGTGATTGGTCTGATAACTACATCCTTTCTGGAGTCATAGCATAATACCGCCATTATTAAAACAAAGTTTTTTTACAAGAGAATTGAATCAGATTGAAGAGCTTTTGTCGGAAGAAATCCATATATATAACCACCTCTACATCAAGTCATTGGCGAACTATAAGGACACGCAGATAGTCTCTGATTTATGGGGGGAGATCTCCACAAACGTCCGTTTGCCGGTCGAGGGGCGTACAAAGTTGTGGAGGAAAATACGGGACAAATATGTCTGCGAAAAAAAAGGCGATGCACGGGGCAATAAAGTCTGATAAATGAATAAACAAACCAACGACTTCCACACACAAAGACGTTACTCCAAAGGGTGTTTGGACTAGATCCCATACAAGTCAATGCACAGACCCGAATGGTTGCGCAGAAAGCGAATCTTCAATGGGCGGGGTGGAGGGCAAGGGGGACGCGCCGAAGGAGTGAAGCGAATTAATTGCTTTAATAAATTCCCCCAACGCTGTCTTGCGAAAAGCGAATCAGCGTTGAGATGCTTCGCTCGTCATCACCGCCGTCCTGCTGCCAAAGCGTGAATACACTTTATGAAACTGCCGCTCACCAGAGACACACACACAGCTGAGACTGAAGGCCTGTAAGTTAGTTGGTGTCTAACCGAGCCGACACAACAAGTCATCAAACCGGCTGCATGGTTAGCCTGAAGTAGCGCTGCAAGCAGCAGTCGTCTTGAGCGCACTTCCAGACGGAGTCTGTGAAATTCACTGAGCTGTGTCCTGCGACTTATGATGTCATGAACCCAAACAAGACAGCATTTGCGGTTCTGACATTTCACACAACACACACAACAAATAAAGAGCAGAAATAGCGGTTATTTCCATGGTGCATAGCAGAAGTGATAACTGTCTTTCCGGAGACAAATCACACAGATAAACCACGTCCCCTTTCAGGCGCAAAATAACTTTAACTAGTTCAACTTTTGGTGTGAATGCAGCATTCAATGCCAATGCAGTCTGGCGGAAGGGGTACGTGTAGGCGGGGCGTGGTTTAGGCTCAGCTGCAGAGGTGATGGAGAAGGGGAGTGGCTCAGTGAACAGTGACGGAGAAGGGGAGTGGCTCAGTGAACAGTGATGGAGAAGGGGAGTGGCTCAGTGAACAGTGCTGGAATGAGGCGTAAATGGCCTCAGCTGCAGCTTGTTGACTGATTTGTGTCGCTCCTTTATAAACAGTAGTGGTGCTTGGGAAAAAAAAAGGATAAATGCAGAGCAGACGGAGAGTGCCTGAGAAGGAGCGACGTATGGTTGCTGCGAGCGTCGGTGAATAAATAAAAATGCCGAGCACCAGCAAAGTGTTTTTTTAATCTGTTGACAGCCCTAGGTTATACATCTTTCGGATGACCCTGTGATACATATCAGTCTGCTGCAACTTCCTAGGATGTTATTGTGGTAGGAATGAATAACAGTACTGTCCACTTTTAAAGTAGCCTTAAACAGTTACAGTTAGTCCAGGTGGAGATAGTTTTGCCGACTATATTTAGAGCTACCGGATTGACCAAAAACTACTGCTGCCACACTTGTGTCCACCTCCTATCTTCCTCTGTGGAAATAAATGATGAACAAGTATGTGAATAATTCACCAGAATAGCCAGAAATCCCATTGTTTACCAGAATGATTTGTGCATGCCAATCCATATTAACAGATGCCGCGGCCACAAAGTTAAGTAGAGTGGAAAAAGCAGAGCCTGTGATGAGGTTCATGAATGCATCAGTGCATGCTCACCTTTAAATATGCTTTTCAAAGCTGTTTTACCGTGAAAGGTTTCAGACAACATTGCATCAAGATAGCGTTCATTAATATTATCGTCCTGTGCCACCGGCTCGTTTTTGTGGGACCATCGTGTTGCCTGCGTTCCTGAAGTAGGCCTGGAAAAAATCCATGTGTGTTTGAGTACTTTAACATTCATCAGCAATGGGACTACCTCTCCGTTTGTGCCATTCAATGAGCAGTCATTGGAAGCAGGGCTGGTGGAGAGGAATCTGCTCTTTCAGAAATTGAAAATTGTTTATCAAAGACGCTAACTAAGATTTTTTTTTTATTCATTTGGGCAATTGTAATTAATAATTTGTTACTCACCGTCCTGTAGGTAATTATGAATTTTATCATGTGGCCCACAGGCATGTTTTGGGTGAGGAATCCTCTCTGGCTTGGAAGGGCTGGATGGTAGTGGATCTTGGCTGTGGGGAAAACAAAATTATTACACAATGAATCTCAAACTACATTCTCTTTTTAATTCCATTTAATCCACCTTTTCTGTTGCCACTTGCTGTACTAGACATTTTATAAAACATGTAGGACAAATAAAAAAATGTTTTGTCTTAATTCATTGGCGAGCATTAATGGCCTCACCTGAAAATCCCCACGTTTATAATACTTCACTGGCTGTTTCTATGATGCAGAGTACTAATCACAACATTTACATCTGTAAAAGCTCCATCTTACTGATGTGAACGCAGTCAAGGAACTTCATCAGTACAGCTAGATGTACTGTGTGTCACACCTGCTGAGGAGCCGGCTGGCCTGTTTCTGCGCTTGCTCTGGCAAGTAAAGCAACATCTGGCCAAAAGCCAGGCTTTTAACGAATGAACCACTGGAAGATGTGGAACATCATTTAGAAACTGGCATGAGCCTGTCAGCAACCTCAAAATAATGCTCTTAATGCTAAACAAAATTGATGATTCCAAAGCTGTAAAATTGAAAAACAGTGACACAATAAGCGGCTCCAAACTAATTTGACATGGTCACTTAGATGTTCAAATGACAGCACTGTACACATGACATAAGACCTGTCAAATCATGTCATATTCAAAAAGCCGCAGCTTTTGACACAAACGCCATCTAAGTTGATAGCAGGAAATGCCTCCTGCCTCATTTCTTGGTAATCTTTTGATGGTTAAACGAGGCCTATTTCTATCAGTCTTTATAACAACAAGGTGCTGGAGGGTGAGGGCACTGCATTGCAGTTAATTCAGGATGATGTGGATAAACAGGTTCAAAAGGAGGGCAGTTTATATAACTGAAACAAAAGTGCACACTGATTTGATGCTGTGTGCATTTGTGTATTTGAAAATGTGGCAAGCTGATGAATAGCGACTACTACGAGTACTGCTTGTAAACAGACATCAATGACAGAATAAGACCATTGTTATTCATGCCTTGTGGCATGCAGCATTCATTTGACTTATAACGTGAAAGCTTTTACTTGAGGTTGTAAGGGCCACAGGACGATACTGAGGATGTCCTCTCTGTCAATAAACCTCACAAAATAAAAAGTCTAGTGTTTTTAAGTTATAGCATAGCTTCAAACCGTATAGGCAAACATGTAAGAAGAAGTATACATGGCATTGTCTGATTCTGTAAACCGAAAGAAAAACTAATTAAACTAATCCGAGGTCGAAGAGGTGAGATTGTAGCAGTTCCACCTCTTTAGCAATCACATGACTTTTCCTTTAGTGCCAACAACAGGTATAACTTTTGGGCTTTTAGTGAAACAGACAGAAAGGTATTAGAAGTAAAGTAAAAGTATGAAGAAATAAATGTTGTTAAGTATCAGGAGACATCATTTCTTATCCTGAGCCATTTGTTTCGAAACATGTATTCATTATAATTTGACTGCAATGAATGAAATGTGCAAGTGAAAAAAGTCTAGGGTTTATCGTGGAGTACAACCAGTTTCTCCTAAAGCACGGTGACACAATCTTTATCTGCGCACTTCTCTGATAAACTGTCAAATGAGAGCACTTCTGTTCAGACAGCTTTTTGCATCAACCTGTCATCTTTGGAAAACGGCTGCAGGTTAAAGGACGTCTAATGGCTCTGAGGCAATCTGCTGCTTCCTGACCCTTTGCACTCTGACTTTTAAGGACACTGCTTTCCCCACAGTGATTTCTGTCTGTCTATCTAGTTCTCACGTTCTCCTTTTTAGAATACTGCGACATTTGAAAAAAAAACCTCTCCAATTTGTAAATGCCCGCCTGGAAAACTTTGACCTTGCTTTCTCAATTTCCTGTGTCACTGACCTGTGCATTACATCCATGGTAGCCTTCAGCAAAAAGCTTTTCAATTTCCATAACTCTCACTCTGAACCTTTAGCGGAGAGCATGGACACTTTCAGTGTCTTTGACAGTCAGAGAGATGAGGAAAGTAGAACAGGAAAAGCCACTCGAATCGAGACATAACGTCACAGGATGAGGATTCAGAGATGGAGCTTCCAAATGACAAATTATGAAGAGTTATATATAAAAATACTTGAAAAAGAATGAAAATGGCTGGCTAGCTAGAGTTGAAGTTTAGTTTGTGGCTGTGCCTGCATATACTTTGAAATATACCATAAATAAATGGCTTTTCTGAATCTAAAGGGCCGGCAGAAATAGGCGGCGCTATTCACCAACCCCTTAATCCGAATGCTAAAATGGATTCCTTTATCTGTGGGCAGGTTATATCCGAGCCCTTCTATTGAATTACGTGCGTCGCCCCTTGACACTTATTGAAATTGAAGGCACCGTAAGAGCAGCAGACACCCTCCCCCATCCCTCCATACACACACTGCAGTTCCAGCATTACTTATGATATTCTGCTGTTGGTCCTGCTGAAAATAGACTCAAGGAGGGTGACCCTTTTGGCTAAATTAATTTAGGAATTTATTTAACTGCAGTTTAATATTGGATGGTAGTTAATATCTTATAAGTAAATGGCCAACTAAGCATAGCGGGAGGACGGAAGATGCATTTGATTCTGATGTATTTTTTTTATCTCAATCATAAGAGATTTGGTACATGAACATACTATTATAATGCAAAACCGCTTTCAGTTTCATCTGATTTTACCCCAAAACCATGATGAGGTTTTTCTTCCTTCTTTATAAGCTGACAATTGAGAAACAAATCTTTTTTTTCAGACTCGTCATCAGAAGATATGCTACATAGAAATAGAGCTTGATTTACTGGTCCATTAGTTCATCATAGATCAGTTCCAGTTCTCATTATGCCCACAATTTGCAGTTCAGACATGCTAAAAATATTTTCATTTGATAGCATTGTTTCTGAATTGCTTCAAAGTATGGCCACCGAGAGTACCACTAATTTTATTATTTATTTATTTTTAAAAGAGTACATATGAGTTAGAATTTTTTTATATCCAAATTTGAAGGATCCTTAATAAGTAATGTTGCCAATGTTATGACAGAAAAAAACAATACATTGTTTAACATGTATTAAGGATTGATTGCAGTGTTAGCCTCGAAATATCACAAAAAAACAACTTTTTGATTGTGGTGTGTCCATTTTAGTTTTTGAGATACCCACTTGTATGTCCACAAAGCTGAACGTTTTTTTTCATATATCATCATTCATATAACATTTTCCATATTGAACAAAGCCCTGCAAGCCCATGTACTATATGTGCCTGCTCATCAACACCTGATGAGATGCAAAATACACAAAGATAGCTTAATTCATCCCCACAGAGTTTAAATTCAGCAAGATAAAAATCACATTGCGTTAGTTATCTTCCCAATCACTTCAGCTCCCATTTAATGTTTAATCCCTAAATGAGGCTCCATTAGTTTCATTCATTGCACAGCAAATTTGTGGCCTAGAATTCTGATTCACATTGTCACTCGGCAATGCACTGCTTACCTGCTTCCTACGACTGTAAACAAGCCTGTGGACTAAACTGTGAGTGGCAGATGTAATAATTTCCTCACCACTGCCCAAGCCTGCTGTCATTACTGCAGCTCCTCCACCGTGAGAAGATAAATAGTAACATCAGATATTGTTTTGTCTGGCTGCCCTGTCAAGTTCACTTGCAATGAGGTGAAGTCTCCCTTTAGTCAGGTACAATGACTTTTTGCAACAGACGTCAAGAACTTTAGCTTCACCCACTTAACAATAAATATCCTTGAACATGCCAACACAGGAACAAATGTGCACACAGAGACAGACAGTTGGGATGCTTTGCAAGAAACTTCCTACCGGGTGAGATTAGACAGAATAACACATTGCTGAATGAAAGACTGTATGGTTAATTGCATTACACTCCCTGTCCATGCGGAAGGAAGCTTACTTAGTATTTGCTATACAATGCAGGCCAATAATAAATACACATGGGGACTTATTTACCTAGTAATATATACACATACTTCCATCAACTTTGAAATTCAACACATCACATGGTCAAAATTGTCATTTCCAGGCTCATGTTTTTCCTTGCATGGCTGTATGAAGTGACTGCAACCAAACAGTTCATAAATCATTGAGGTGAGTGAGAGAAGTGGTAACAAAAAAAGGAGGGAAGAAATGTGACGGAACTCATTATAAAAGATGGATGATTGAATGGGCAGATAAATCTCAAGTCAAGGGACGTACGTGATAAATTGGGGAACGAACACCTCATATCCAGCGGTTGTGTGTATGTGTGTGTGAATACAGTGGGGGTGTCGTTTGATGCCAACAACCTCCTGGAGAAGAGAAAGTATTCATTCATTCATCTACCTGTTAATAACCAGAAACAAACATTTATTTCAAAGGGACTAAATATGAGCGGTTATGGATAGTGTAAACAACAATGTACACTTTTACTGTCCGAGCAAGAAATCTTCTATAGTCACAACCACCATCAAAACTCTCTCCAATAACTGGAAGGCTGCTCAACATTATCCATCACCAGATAATTTAAACAAAACATGTCACACAGATGACTTCAATCAGCAATCCTCCCTTTTAATTTATCACGAGAGTCCTTCTGGCCGAGGTGACCTCTCAATCATTGCCCTGACTTTGGCTTTTGGGAAGTCCCTGTCAATCTTCCCACAATGATTTAAGACCAAACGTGGCCCCGTGGCATCCGAGCCAGAGCAATCCATGCTGCATAATTCAACACTGCTTTCAAATTCAAACCTGTCTCATTAAGGCTCCTGGCTATGGTCCATGGCGATGAGTGTGAGGATTTGAGTCACATATCTGTACCGAGTGTAAAGCCCAGCTTAAGATTCTGCTTCAGCTTTTTCAAAATCTGGCAATAACTAGGTTCCGCCTCGGCATGAACAAATACGCCTCCTGTCTTAATGTGTGTCAGAACAAAAGTGAAAAGCACCGGCCAGACTGCAAACATAAATTATACTCTGAAGCCTTGCTTTGTTACCCTGTAACTTTGTTTGTAATGCAGGATTTCTAACAATAAGAACAAGAGCAAAATAAGTTTTTTCCACTCAGTAGTTTGGATATGTCGGAAATGGAAAGATCTTCTCAAACTCACTGCCAAAAATCATTGATTGACAAGCTTTTGTGGTTTTATTATCATGGTAATGGAGGCTACATTGTTTTGGGCATTTACAACTTTCTGACCTTTGTGGACAGTTTACTGTCGGGGTAATTTTCCAATTCTCTTAACTCAATTGCAAGAGAAAGGTCAGTTGTGACATGTTCGTGACTTTCAGCGTCCCACGGGTGACAAAATCTCTCACTTTTGGAGTGGTTCGAAATCCAATATAGGCTATTCCTCAGCCCATATTCGGATCTTTAACCGAGGCGACTGCCAAACCCCAGAACCAAAACGGTTTGGGAAAATCAAAGTCTTCCTTGGTGTGGATGCACAGTTGGCCACATTTGAGTGACGTAGGGAGAGGGAGGAATGTTTGCCTTCTGCATCAGTGATAAATGTCATTTAGCGAGTCGACGGAGGTGGGAAAAGCGCGCTGACCTGCCAAGTGAGGGGGGCAGGTGACAATCACAGCTCTGCCAAAGAAGGTGTTGGTGGAGGTCGTCACTCTGGCCCACTCAGCATCCTGTCGAAACACAGGAACAGAAATGCAGCTTTATTTGATTAGCAAGTTGCACAGATTTGTTATTTTATTACATCCCCTCTTGTCTGATGGACTTATTTATAAGTGGGATTTACCGAGTGATTATGGAAAAAAGCACAATATTTTCAGGCACGGACAAACTAAAGTTAAATCAACTACTTTATGCAACTTTTTTCATACCTAACCCCATATTTCAAGCATCTAACTGTACATATTTCAAATAATTTATTACTTATGTCTATATCTTAGCCTAAATCAGCATTTCTGTGAACAATTATTGCCAGTGTTTTATAATATGTCATATACAAGTTTTACAAAACAAACTTCTATTCTGTATTGTGACCGATGCCCATTCTGAAACAAGAAACAGATAATGTATACAAATGACACGGTGAAATGAAATGAATTGTCATTGTGATAGTGACATGTTCTACCGTAAATCATTGGGTTTTGAATCATTGCAGAGCTCTTATGTTCTTTCTCCCTTTGTCTCATGGACTTAACTTAAGACTCTGGTGATAATTAAACTCGCCCACCACATAGAAGGCAGTTATCCTCCAAAATTGAAAAACAGCTGGATATTTTTGGATGTTGAAAAATTAGAAATTGTATTTATTGAAAATTATCCACATTAAGACATTAAAGCATTAGGTGTTGATATCATCCAGCCCCTTTTCAGAGAAGAGATGAAGGTGTCCCAACTTACCATATTTGGACCATCTTTTCCTCAATGTCCCAAAGAAGCCAAAATAGATATTATATATTTGTTTTATTTGAATGGCCTTGCAGCTAGAAGGTCCTTTGTGTGAAGCGGTCCAACTGTGTGAGGTTTGCATGTGTTCCTGGGGCCCTTGTGGGTTTCCTGTATGTCTGCTCCAGTTCAGCTTGGGCAAACTAGAAACCCCTAATGTTCCTGTAGCTGTGAGTGAGTGTGATTTCTGTCAATATGTGTTAGCCCTTGAAAGACTTGACTAAAAGTCAAGGATGTGTCCTCCCTCTCACCCAATATGTGGGACCTGCTAACTCCGACTGTGAATCCGCACAACATGATACTCGATAATGTTTCCTCCATATGTCATCCCTATTCATATTGTTACTGTTTTGCCGTTTGTGATCATTTTATCATTATTATATGATTATATGCTTCATGATGTAAGGGGTCCAAGGCTGTAACAGGTATCTATGGCACTTTTGCTTGGTCGTGAAAATGATGATTCTCGGTCTCTGAGCTGTGGATTCTTAGTTTCTTCTTGCTCTCTGAGCTGTGGATTCTTGGTGTCTTCTTGCTCTCTGAGCTGTACATTCAGGCAGAACTGACCGTGCAGGACACGGCCTGTTTCCCCTCTGTGGTAGCTGTTATATCTCTGTGTCGTGCCTCATCGAACCCTGTGTGAGATCTTACTTTACCTGCCATATGGCCGTCACAGCGGAACTCAGCCGGACATTCTTCCACCCGACGCGTTCTGCCAGACATTGTGAAAGTTGTTGGGTGCCTCCCTGTGGAGAGACAGAAACCAGACCATTGATACCCGGGGTCGGGTTCACAGTGCTTGAAGTTGAAGGATTTCTTCAGCCAAATCATTAAAGCACAAACTCCTTGTGGTGTCTAGCCAGCCATGCAGATAATTCAATTAATTTGGCCTTTTTTAGATGGACCTGCCTATGATAGTGCTGCCGACGTCCCAGTGCAATAAACATAATTTGTGGTCCAATTACAGATGTAGGCAAGATCCTCATCAGTAGCATAGTTTTTTTTGTCATTCTGCAATGAACGGGTCAGTAGGAGCTATTGTCTTCCAATTGTACAAAAATGTACATACATTTGATGCAGCTCTTACTGCATCTATGGTGTTGCCATGCTCATAGTGCTACTTGTAATAATTCCTTCAGAATATAGCTGAAATGCCGCAATAAGAAAATTGCCACGGATGACTCTGAGGGGAGAAAAAAAGTTTGTAACTAGAAAAGCACTCTTGCAATTTTCTCTTTCTTGGCCTGTTGGCCTTTGGCCATTTTATATTCCAACACTCTGTGGAGAGAGAAGGTTTAGAAGCAATGGCTCAAACATAAAAAAAAACTAATTGTTTTGAGAGATATTTTAAAATACTTTTACTAAAGGAAATAAGAAATCCATTAGGTTCTTTTAAAAAAAAAAGTAACTCAAGTGAACAATATGCAGTCTCTGTACCTTTATCTTGAACTCTTGCGCAGAACCTGGAGTGCTTTCCAGCAGTGGCAGCACCCCTCCAGCTGCTGCAGCATACATGAGGAAGAACAGGAAGGACATCTGCGATGGCTCCAAGCCAAAGACAGATCTGCTACACACACCCATCTCCTCCTTTAGCTCTGGCAAATGAATGAATACATACTGTCGCTCTCACACATGAAGTAATTAAATGCATCCCTAAACCGCAAGCTGTTTGTCGTGAGTGTGAACTGAAGATACAAGAAGCATTATCTTACTATGAACGTCTTGCATTGTACACCTGGCCAGTCAATAAATCACTATATTGGAGGAGGGTCCTTTTTGTTATCATCTTGTCTAGTGAATTCTTTATTAAGTCTGCAGTCACTCAATCTGGTATTGCAATATCTTCGGTATCACGTAGAAACCTACGCTATTGAAATGTTATGCACTGTGAAAGATTATACTTTCATGGCTCCAGAAATGAGGAAACTACTGAAACAATTCTTGTTGGTTGGACTGGCAATAAATCTGGTACGGCCTTTTAAGATTTTTATATTCACGAAGATGTATGTAAGGCTTAGTAAGTTCATTCTGGAGTTTTTTTTCCCAAGCCTTATTCAAGAGTGTGGTCTAAATCTCGGGAGCATGACTCATGGATTTCATGTCAATGTTTATTATGCTTTCCAGCAAACCCCCCTCCTCAAACTCAAACAGCTGTAGCGTTCGCTTGGATTTCTGCTCAAACGGGCTGCTTGCACTCAGACGTACTACTGCTTCCACAGATTTGCCGTGCTCTGGTGTTAGCCCTTCTCCCGGAGGGGCTGCTTATGTGTGCTCGTTAAACATCCTTTCCAAGATTGTTCAGCTACTCTTTACACTTTTTTTTTTTTTTTTACAGCAACCATGGAAAAATTCCCTAACCAATAGAGGGACAAATGTGAGCAAGCAGCAATATGCCCGTGTGCAAGCATACTGTTTGATTACACTGTAAGTAGAGCCCATCAAAGCACAAAGAAGGGCACATTTTAATGCAGGGACAGGGTTTTCAGTAATTAATAAATCATGTTATTGCAATTTAAAAACTACGCATCGTTAATTTGTATTGAGCAGATATTCGCATGAAACTACACTAATCTTAGATGTTTACCATAACACATCATAAGTTCCTTTGCATGCTAAATGCCACTATACAAACCACCTATTAAAGTACACATTGCCCATCCATATTTTGAAAAAGAAAACGGTGCTTCTGTATCATATGTGAGGAATGTTACATACAGCTCCTTTTAACGATCAGGAATGAACTATTTACCTCCAATATTACATATCTACATATTTTTGCCTGAAATGGAGCCTCGCTAAGATGGCTGTAGACTAAAAATACTGTGTATGGAACACCGTATTGAATCTCTTTTTATTTATTAATCTCTATTTATTATTTTATTTATTTTTATCATCATCAAGAATCACTAACTCTGCTCCACATGTCAACACGCTCTATTGAAGGATATACAGGCCCCAATAGCTAAAGCAACTCTTAAACCTCACCTGCAGTCCAAACATGCTGCTTGATGTATGAGTGCAGGGTCATGCTGTCCAGTTCAACAGCGTTTGGAGTCTTGCAGGGATCCTGGACGCATACTGTGGCACACAGTCTGTTCATCTGAGGGAAAAGTAAAGGTACAACAATACACTGACACATGATGCTGTACGACAAACAACGTCCTATTGATTAAATAACACAAACAAACATGAAATCACATTTTCTGCGTCTCGTGCCACTGTAAGCACTTATGCCGGGAATTGCTGGGAATGACATTTTGTGGTACTTTGTTTTGTGATTATTTCATGCTTCATCCATCAATCTGAAAGCAGAGCGCTTTATAAACGTAAAATAGCATTACCACAGCCATGGGTGACTGCTTATTGATTCTGAGCATGGTAAGTATAATGTTAAATAAAGCAGATAGAAATGTATGATTGTAAAACAAAAAATACCTGATAACCGGCGATATGCTGTAGGTTATCTTATTATTGGTATACACGCATTAAGATTACTGCACCAGGGGTTGTGATTATTTGGCCGATCTATTTGGGAACACAGCTGTGATTGAACAGAGTTGGAGGTACAGAATAAGTCTGCCGTCTCACCTTCCACAGGAGCTGGGCAAGGTCCATTAGCACCATTGGCGATAAAGCAGGAATACTTGTTCTGTAGGTGCGAACTTTGGCACCTGGCCCTCCCATGTGGTGAACCTTCTTGCCGATATTAAATTGGGCGAACGTCTCTAAGCCCAGTTCCTTTATGAGCTCAAAGATATGGGTTTGGGTGCTGAGGAATAAAAGAAGCCAATTTATATATTAGGTTTTAAGGGTTTCAGCATTTACTGTAAGGGTTTTCACACGATTAGCTGATACATAATCAGAAATGCAATCTTTCTGAGTTAAGAGAAGTGCATTGAGAATACGATATTGCTTGAGCTAGTCCTTGAACCAAGGGGTAAAAAAAAGCATTCCAAATTGTGAAGTGGCATGAAGGACGTGTGAGATGTCAAAGTGCTCTTGAGCGACGCTCTTCACAACCTTCTCCAGTTGAGCTCTGTTGTTTCCAACGGTTGTTGTAGCCCACTAGTTAGTAACTAGAAGCAAAGTATGCAAGAGCTCCTTATCTGATCAAAGCAGTTTGTGACTGACATTTATCTTAAAGTGTGACTGCACAACAATCTCAGCAAATGAATTAGAGATGGTGAACCTTTGTTGATTGCTTTGTAAGATTGGTAACTTTGGGATGGAAGGTTGAAAGTCCAAGACTTGCTATTGATAACAGACACATTACTAAGGCGGATCCACAAAAACCTTGATAAGCAAGGTTCTGAACAGATAAAAATATCATGTTATTTTCCACATTGGTCACATAATCTGTTGCGCTTATTGATTTGCATATCTGTTACGTGTTACTAGGACAACAGCTACTATTCCATAGGAAAGATTAATTATTTACATTTCATCTAAAAAACAGTGCTTATTTTACAAACGCTCCACAGCCATCCATAAATACGTTTTCCTAATCATCATAATGCAGGATACACGTTGCAATCAAAAGACTTGTGACTACAGTACCAGCCTACGAGCACAGCATTCAGCAGAATGCCTTCCTATTCTATTATTATACAAGGAATTATATAAGCTTGGTGTTTGTCATATAATTCTTAAACCTCTGTGACAGATATATTTTTTTCCAAAATATTCTTATTTGAAGACGTTTCTATAATGGGCAGTTGTGAGCATTTTGTGAGTTGTCAAGTGAAGTTAACACAACAAGAATGATTTAAACAGAAAACCATTTTTAGACTCATACAAGGTCCCTCTCAATCATCAATATATGATGCACTTAGTGTGTGGCTGCGTGAGTGTATCTACAAAGACGCCTTCCTCTGGGTTTCCCAAACCCGAATCAACAAATCTTCCTCATTGTGCCCTAGCAACTCATAACCCTCTCCAAGATATGTGTAGGCAAGTGATTAGGATCTTTTCCTGCTAATGCATGACGGGAGCCAATCTTCAATCGCATTCAGTCGGCAATCAAACCCAGAGCCGGAAACATCTAAATACAGCTATCCACTATCCACCGACTGCAATTATCATGTGGATGAAGTTTGCTTGTTTAATTGACATTTACATTTTTGCGGCCCTGAAGTGTTTCAACCGTATCTTATGACTACATAATGAAAGAGGTGAAATATATGTGAAGCTTTCCACCGTTGACTACCGATGGATCAAGAATCCCATATCTTATATGTTGCTCTCTTGTGGAGCTCTGATGCATTTCAATTGCTACTAAACGCTTTTCAGTACAACAAACAAAACAAAATATTTTTAATGCAACCTTCTGTCTTTGTCAACTAGAAACTGTCTGTAAGACATAATGATGTAATGAAATTATGAATATTCTCTTGATCACTCTTGAGCACTTCCACGTTGATGTGCTTACCTTCCTACCCACTGTCCCCCAAAGTCCCAGCGATCAACACCATTGGCGGCTGGTATGTCAGTGGACACTGTGCGACCTCCCACACGATCTGTATGTCAAAACAAAAAATTAGTACGAGAAAATGGCATAGTGAAAGAGTCCAGTAAATTACCCTAATTGCAGGTTACCAATTGGTTTGCATTTTTAAAAACCTTTTCCTTCCAGTATCAGTATTTTCAGCTTTGCATTCCTTTTTCTCAGCAAGTGAGCGGCACTCAGTCCAGATAGTCCTGCACCGACAATAATAACATCCCAAATTTCTGCAGTCATTGTCAAGCTCAAGTAACGTTTTTTTTTTGTCTCAACATGTGCTGGTAAATCGTGGAGTTAGAAACAGAAGTCCAACTTGTTTTCCCTTTTGTACTCTGTACCAGTTGGGTTATCTTGCAAAGCCCGCTTTCATAAAAGTGCACTTTGGACAGCTGAGCTGTGGAACTACTTGGCAGAGAATTGGCAGTGTAAACTAACACTCCAGCAGTAAAAGTTACAAGAAGGTTTGATATGATAATATAGCAATTAGGTTATTGTGTTAGAAGGCATAATATGGTATATTTAACACCAGTAGGAGTACTTTAATGACTGAGTTGCATTTTACTTTATTATAATGTGACATAAATTTAAAAGGAAATTTGAATGTGAGTCATTCCATTCTGATGGCTATACTGAACCCTAACCTATGGCTATATAACCCTAACCCATATTTACAATTAAGAGATTTTGTTTTTATTGAAAAAGTCAAACTATGGCTCATTCTACACATTCCTTTACCATTAATAATTGACATACAAATTTAACCAATTAAATAAACATTTATGCTCTGGAAAAATAATATTTTTGTATTTGTTTTGATTATGTCACATATAAATTAACTTCCAGGCTATCCTTTTTTATACTGAATGATGTCCCGGCAAAGGAATTTTACAACTTCCCCACTGAGTAACCCTTTGAACATTGTAGACTCACCTAAATAGGAAAATTTTAGGGACACTAAAGAACAGTTACAGCTTGTTCAATTGCGAACAAAAATATTGTAATACTGTGTTACATATTGGTCCGTATATGCTCTCATGTAATCACAATTTCTTTTTTCCTTTTTCCGTTAACGTTTTTGCATTTTCAATACAATTTTACAAACTGCAGAGAGTAGACTGACAAAAGTAATATGTAAATAAAGGGTTGTTTATTAATACCAAAGAAAAATAGATAAATGTCAGTGAATCAGGTCAGGCGCACAACCCGGTACTGTGCAAATTCTGTTTTATTCTACGAAACAAGATGTACTACCGTGGGTTATATTTGGTAGATCATCCTATTTAAGATTGTTTTCATGCCATCATTTCAACCATGTGGATTCGATAACCACAGGCTCTGAAGTTTTGTGTCGTCTCATTTGTGTCTCACGTTTGAACCAATCTACTCTTCTACAACACCTGCAAACTGGTTACCACACAAGATAAACATGGCACCTCCCTCTGTACCTGCATGCTGGAACTCCTAATCAATGAACCCTAATCCTGGAGGCTAGACTACCACACCTCTTTCCTTTCGGGAAAATAGGACACTGGAGTTCCACAGGGCTTTGTGCTGAGGCCTCTCCAACAGCGTGTACATTTCACTGCTGAGTGCTGACACTAGATTGGCCCAATCAGCAACAAGAAGAGACGTATTCAGGCACCAAATCCAGCACCTGCTGCAGTAGTGTACCAGCACCACCTCCACCTCAAAACATCCTCATTGATCGGATTGCGGCTGCATACAAACCCCCTTTTGCATCGATGGAGCATGCAAGCGTGCCTTAAATGTTGAACGGGTGACTTCATTTAAGATCTGCTTGAGCCCTTCCTCCCAGTATATTTTAAAAATGCATTAGGGGAATGCGGGAGGTGTGGCTTCGTGGTCACATAGTACGTGACAGAGGGGTTGTGGTGACATGAAGTAAACTGTCCACCTCTATCACCAACCAGCTCTCCCTCTGACGTCGCCCGCTCCAACTATATTCAATGCTTCACAACACTCTTTAAATTTACTCTAATACCTAAACTTGATATTCACTGAGTGACATTTATACTACTCCTTGTAAGCTGTATTCACACTCCTTTACTCATCTAATCTCTTCTTTTAGGTGTCCAGCCAGCAGTACAATTAAGTCCGGTCTGCAAGTAAACATCGTGTGTCTATCATAACTGGCCAGCCGGTCAAGAGGACGCACATGGCCGATACTACAGGAAAAGTGCCAGAAGGCACTGCAACAGTTACTAGAGACACAGCGAGGAATGGCAGGGGAGACATGAAGGGGAATTGTATTGAAACCTGGTATTGTAAGTATTGGGTATCTTGATATTCATGGCAGGTATTGTATCAAAGTCAGAATTTTGGTATTGTGACAATCCTACTGGCATGGCCACCAGCCCTCAACGTACTGCCAGTTTTTAATTTTGTCCCTATCCGTGATGAGTTTGACACCATTGCTCTAGCCTACTCAACACTTGCCTCATCCGCCCGCAGACGTAGCCGCTTTGGAGCGCGAGCCGGCAGCACAGCACCGACACCATGACGTGAATCCATTAATGGGTAAACTGAAAAAGCTCAGGGAGAAAAAAGAGGAGAGGAGAGTGAATGTCTGGCGGAAGGTGTGTCACATTTTTTTTAATCAGACTTTTTGGGGAAACCACTGACTAGTGAAACAAATTATTGCTTTCTTATGCAACTGTAACACCCCTACACACACACACACACACACAGAGCATGCAACACCACTGATACCACTGATGTCCACAGTCTATGCTATGTTTTGTACATTTCTACAATATAGCTTGTACTAATTCTACCCTCTGGTTCCAGTATCTTTATTGTGTGGTCCTTTTCTGCTGACATTCATCCTAAGGCTCTGTATTTATACGTAAAACCATCTGATACTAACCCAGAGTTGAGCACATTCATCGAACAAACTATAGCTGCTTCGGAGTGTTACAATAGCCAGTATATCATTTTATTCCATGTTCCAAGTAGGCCACTGACTAGTCGATGCTTTCAGTGGGTCGGTCCGACCAGGCATATATATGTTTGTGTAGGAACAATACACAGTTCTGTTTCTCGCTTCGAAAGAACAAAAGCAAATAGTCAGCAGTTGCCCAGAATGATCCCTGGGTTGCTGTATCATCAATCCGTAACATATGGATAGTTTATACAATAATACTGCCACACACACATTTCCATTGTACTGGCACCAGCTGTGTGCATTGAAGGTAAAGTTGAATCTATTCTAATTTCAGTTTGGTGGTTGGCATGTAGCGTACATAACTACCGCCTTCTCGGACACTCAAACAGTTATTTTTATCCATATTAAAGTAATTAGGAAAAAGTACCAGCTCCATTCTTTTAAATTTCCTTAAGCAAAGTCCATCTCGTGTCCAGACAAATGTTGCTTCCCAAACAGATTAGTTGGTCTTTAGATGGATCAGATTTTTTTTCAATTCAGTTTCACATTAAAGATGTGATTTTAGATTTGAAAAATGATCCAACAAAAGAAAACAGGCTAGTGTAACAATGAACTCTTTCTTACTGAAAATAGTTCACCAACTCCAAACTATTGATAGTTTCACAACTGTCAGTTCAGCAGCTTGTGGCAGACTCCCGTGATGCACACTGAGTAGTATCAGTGCAGGCTGATGAGGTTACGGTTGGGCCGTCCAGTGACGTTATTCCTGGTGAATGTAAATGCTTGGAAGGGATTATTAAAGTCCTGGGACATCTTCAGGTACCAGAGTTTTTTTTTTCTTTCTTTACTTGAAAGCCATTTGAAATATGAAATGCTGAAGTAATGATTGTTCCAACATATAAAACTTTAAAAAAAAGGTAGCTTGAATGTAGTTAGTAATAGTTAGGGTAATAGTTAGGGTTAAAATCAGTTGGAACAATAATTGTTTTATTTAGGCCATGTGAAAGTCATTTGACTATAATATTACTCTAAATTGAAATATTGAATTCAAATGATATATTTCATTGCAGTCAATTCACCGCAAGATGTTCTAAGCTGCCGCATAAACACATGACGTTGAAGGACCCAGTGGGAAAACATGGAGCTGTGTAGCGTTTCTGACCTCGGATTTGTTTTTCCTCTCTGGAGCCTCTGGGGCTTAATGAGCTCTATTGTAACTACCATATGCAATCTGTTTTGTGACTTTTGGCTGCATAACGTTGTGTTTGTGTGGCTTTCTTAGCCAGACCCTCTCTGAGAGAAAAAGGACGCAGAAACAACAGATGTGTTTCTCGGATAATATTCGAGCCCATCCAAAAGGCAAACGGTCTGCAGTCGGTCCAGACACCACGCAGAAAGATCAGATTGTAAATTGCAGAATGAGAATGGTGCAAATTGTACTATAAATGTACAAATAGTGTCTAACACATTATATACGTACAGATTGTAAAGCGAAATTCATCCCTAAAGAAAAGAATCCTCAAAACATCTAATCCTTTGACATATTATATCACTGTAAAGTTATATGCTAATGTGTTTAAAAAACACATTCGGCAGGCAGGAATCAATATTATCGTCACAATGAGACTCAGGGCAACATTAGCGTTGATTTAGGGCTTTGTTTCTGTCCTATCGATCAATGTCACTCCATAACAGTATACACCGTCTTTTTATCTACCTGCATCACTCTCCATAAGCAGAGAGTTGCACAGATGCTCATGAACGTCGTCTTTACGGGGGCCAGACAGGCACTTTTAAAAGGCTATTTTGCCAACATCGGCATCCCGAGGGTACAGTGTTTGCTGTGGATCCTGTGAGAGCTCGCTTGCCGATGTCAGCAGTATATTGCTGGAAACAAGATGGTTGAGCGTGCAGCTACTGAACCCTACAATAAAGCAAAACAATGAGCAACAATAGGTGGAAACCTTCTGCAGAGTTCTAACGTTAGTGCTAATTCTCTGTAAGCGTCTCCTTAAGATACTGGTGTCTCAGAATCAAACGGCTTTCTTTCTCGGTTTTCCTTTTTTTCAGCTCATGTCATCCGTGGCAACCATTCCTCCTGCCAAAGCGCTTAGCTTTGCTGCTAATGACCCCTCAATGGGTGACGCTTCAATCTCATACGCCCCGCTGTCACCTGCTCAAAGTGCTACCTACCAGTGTAAAGTGAGGGAATCACCCGGAGCGCCGGCTCCATTGGTAAGAACGGGCTTCAGGGTTGCATCGTCGGCACATTGACATTTTGGATTTGTCCATTTCAATGATGGTTAAATTTCCATTTCACATGACTGTATACACTACATTTACCAGTTGCCACAAAGCGAATTTAAATGTACCTTCTATCAGGTATGTTTCCTTTTTCAAGACTTGTTCTACATCACCTCAATTAAGTGTATCCATTAGTGGTTTGT